ATCTCTTCACCCAACACTTCCACTCGTAATGGAAGTAAGCTCAACAATTCATTCTGTCAGCCAGAAACTCACTTAATTCTCTCCACGAAGGTGCTGCCTGTAATGCTATCCTCTTCTTCGGCAGTCTTCTTTCCTCTTTTCCTTCGTGTACGAGATTCTCGAATTCCATTTACTTTTTAGCTGCTCTCGCCCCATCTTCACTGATAGTTCATTTCTTATAAACGATCGATTAAAGAGAGTCTACAAGTTGGTCCCCAAAAGAATTAAAATTGAATAATTTCGATATTGTGCCTGCTACGCTCCTCTATTTGGGCTACACCTTGTACACGAATGGTCGTGCATATCATAGAGGTGCTGGATGATGGTATGCCAAGCAAAAAAGCTTTCTTGTTGACAAGCCCTCGACATCCAACCATAGCAAATCCAGTTGCCACGGTGATCAGGTTAATCAAAACGTCCACCCAACGGGGTATGAAGACGAACTGTTCCGACAGCAGATTGCCAACTGTCCTCAACATTCTGGCCTGCTTTTCTGCTGCTGTTGCTGCTGCTGCTGCTGCTGCTTTCCCGAAGAGGAGACGATACCGAGGCTGGACATGTGAAACTGAGCAACAGCCTGAAACATACATACACACACACACACACACACACAGAACCGCGTAGGGGTGAGCGCGGAATCAAGAGGCCACTGCTTGGCTGATACTTTCTGGGGATTTTTTCACAAAGCCTCCCTTTCCCGCCAGCCAGCCAGCATGCATACGCTCGTCTGTCCGCATTGTCTTCTCGCATTTTCGTCCGGCCGAGGCGCATCTGCGGAAGCTGACTGGCCTCTAAACGAATACAATGCAGACTTTTATAGCTTTTCACATCCTACCACTAGCGGAGTATGGCTCTCCAAACCTCGACTGGCCTCCCCCCCCCATGCCCCTCCACACCCTAAAATACAGGCCCAGACACAAGTAATATCGGTGACAGCATTACAAACCGGCTTCGTAACGCATGCACACACGTCGACACGAACAAGGACGTCAAGTTGGCACACTAATGTCCGTTGACCGGAAGGGATTAGGTGGCAGATCGTGGCCGACGAGTGAACAGGCCATGGGGGGGAGGACGACAGTGAATGCCGCTGGCATGTTGCCGGGTGGGCAATACAACCGGACACATCGCCTCAACTTCGCCACGCTGACGACCGGCGAAAGCGAACTTCCAGCCTCTGGCTTGTAGCGTCATAGAGTCGGTAAGTCGAGTTTTGTGAGTCCAGTCGAGCCGCCTGCGAGCTCTTCATGCCTCTGAAAGGAGGATGTACATTTCCTGATCCATCGTCTACTTTAGCGAAGTTCAAGTCCGTCCACATGCCCATTTAGTACCACCTATGAGTCACGGTTTGGAGGGAATACCGGAGCCCACATGGACGGACACACACATACACAAGATGGAATTTGAACTTCTAAGAGGTCCTTTGGAAGTGATTCATAAATTGGCTTCGTCCGAATCCGAAGAAGAATTGTGATTATATTGTTTCGTTTTCGCAAATTGGTCTTAGTTACTCACAGATTCAGTGTTTCCATGTAGAAAATGAGTCATGATTATTTCCAGCATATGACTGTTGCATTTCCAGACTCTGCGCCGGCATAATCAGTGAGAGGTGAAAGTCATAGGACCAAGTGACAAATAAAGAAAATACTTCTTACTTTCCACTATGAATTGTAACTGGGAGGTAAGAACGGCGCCTCTTAGTGACGATGCAGATGCTGGATTTTATCATGATTACTATGACAGATGACGACGAACAAGATTCATCTTTAGAGGTAACCCTGAAAACATGACCAAATAGTGAAGGGGGGATATTGGCTCTAACTAGCTACGATTGTTTATTTTTTATTGCTAAGTCTATTTCAATTTCGAATGAAAGTGTCCGCTGGACGGACCCTCAGGTCAATCCGGCCTAAAGAAGTAGGCAGATTCCTTTTGACCAGCTGTCTATTGACCTTAACGGGGCATTCCGTTTGACGTCGTCTCCAAGACGATCACTTTCAATTACTATGAGAGTGTGTTATGCATTCTTCTACCATATGACAACATCAAAACAAAATAGCATTTTTACTACCCATTTAGGCTAACTGGCCACCAACACAAATCGACTTATACTTGCATGCTACACATTTACTCGGAAACTGGTCATTTTTATGGCTAGTTCATGTCCCATAGCAGTCTTGAAGCACGTGCGTCTGTAGATATTGCCTAAGGGACAGCCTCAGTTAGAATTATTCAGTAATTTGCCAAGAGGAGGCTGACAAGACTTTGATGTGTTGTTGTACCTCTCAATAAGGTCTGTTCATGACAGCCAAATCAAGAATACCACCACTTTATGGAAATTCTTGCTACCGGATCTTGGCAACTTGTGTTGCCGTGGCCAGGCAGTCGTATATAAAAAGGGTCCTTTCATGGATTGATGTTAATCAGCTTTTAATTTGGAAAAGGGATATTTCATGGTTTAGTGTTTTGGTTGAATTTTCCTAAATGGTGCTTTATGTCCTTGACATACTGTCAAATGGATTGATCAACGTTGCAGGATGGTGAGAAGATTTGCTGACACAATCCAACAGCCTTTACTCCTTTGAAGGTATGAAAACCAAGATGGTGTGGCCTTTTGTGTGGTCGCAGTCTCCTTTCGTTGTGTAAAAGTTGTTTGATGAGATTCACTGACGATGCCGACTACGATGCCGGCAAAACGTCTGGGAATGTACCACGTCCACGGTCCTACTCCGGACAAGGTATGTTCTTCTAAATCTTCCTATCAACATGACCGAGTTGCAAAAAACAAGGTCAAACAACTTCTTTACTCCTTTGGCTTTCGGAGGAGCCGATATGTGAAACCCTTCCACACGTCTTCTATGTGAAATGAAAGGTGGGCCATCAGCACACAAAAATGCCAGTGGATTTCGAGCCTCTTTTAGGTCGTGCCAACACTTCCGCCCGCTCATTGCTTGACGTTGTAGACCTGATATGCTTTATAGCTTGGCAACGTTTAAAAGAGCTACTCAATGCCTTGCATGACAGAAGACCTCTCAGAAGATGTCTTGCGGAAGACTAAGTGAAGTGGAGTCGGCTTTATGGGAATCTTAGCCCCAAAGTCCTTTCCTAAAACGTGGGGCTAGAGCATTATGTCTTATCAACTCGTCGGTTTGAGCACTTTGAAAGGGTGATCCAAAAAATCTTGGGATTTCGTGCCTAGTATACTTTTAGAACACATAAAAGTCGAATTGTTAAAGACACGAAACATATAAAAGGTCTTGAAATAAGGTTTTACTGCTTTGTTAATCGCTGGGCTCTTCCTCTTTCATGCGTGACTCTTCGAACCCACGCTATGCCGAGAATGCTTGGTCTGGCGAGACTCTGACCAATTGACCAATCGGCTCAGGCGACACAGCTTGGCTTGATTGATACTGACGATGGGAGGAGGGACAACTGGAGGGAGTTCGTGAGAATACTGACGTCTGGACGTCTTCCACACGTTATTGTGTTCGTGAGTCCTGTCTGTGTCCAGTGAACTCGAGGCCTTGGCTCGCTAAGTGTGCTTCTGTATTGTGTAAATACAGCTTGTCGTGTCTATAAGTGTGTGGATTATGGTGTGAAAATGGATGCAAATTGGCAGACATCGAAACGGAAGTCGGAGACGCCGATCGTCTTGACCGATGACTTTCAATGAGGAAATGTATGCCGACAGTATCCAGAGACGAGGTTTCGATAAACATGGAAGCATGCTTTACATTTTTCGTTTATAAGCAAAGTTTCGAGACTACCAGTAGCTCAGTTCTGTGTTCACCTTATTTCATTTAAGATGATGAATTCAACTACCAGTCCTTCATCATCTCAAATGAAATAGGGTGAATACATTTCACATACTTTCTCATTTGTCAGTAATTTCTAACTCTTCTAACACACCACACAATTCCACGCATACACACACGTGGGTGCTTGTGTGCCATTCAGAAGGCATACAAGCGGACAACAATGTACGTGAATTTACATCGGCAAACAGAATCCCACCCAAGCAGACTCGTTCTGTTATGCAAGTGTAGGCCACCTGCACATGCACAGAAGAGTTA